GGTCTTTCCCATCACTTGCTATGCATCTGAGAGCGGGCAATGAATAAGGATGACAGAAAAAGAACTGATGTCTTTGAGCTGTGGTGTTGAAAAAGAGCACTGAACATCCCATGACGGCCAAGAGAACAAACAGATATGTCTTGCATAAGGTACAGCCGGAGTGCTCTTTGGAGGCAAGAATGATGAGGCTTTGTCTAACATACTTTGGGCATGTTGCTAGGAGGGGCTATTTCTTGGAGAAGGACATGATACTGCGAAAGGTGGAGGGTTGGCGAAGGACAGGAAGATCCTCAACCAGGTGAATTGACATAGTGACTGCTGCATGGGATCTTGTGTGTCAGGAAGTATGAGAATGGCACAGGATAGAACAGGGCTTGGATCTTTTGTTCATAAGGTTGCTAAGAGTTGTACTTGACTCAATAGCACCTAACAACACAACAACTACCATGGGTGCTGATTGTGGAACAAAATAAATTGAAATTCATAGCAATTTTAATATTTTCTCTATGTCTCATGATGTTTCCTATTTGTCCAGTGGCTAAGGGCAGTGAAGTAGCAAAAGCTGCCGTTTCCCAGGCTATGCGGTGGGATGAGTTTAAGCAATAGCATGAGGCAGCATGGCAGAACTGAGGGAATGGAGAACAAATCTTTGTGGCTGCAATCAAGGTACTGTACAGGATAGGGTAGGTTAAGGAGGAGAAAGATTATGAGAAGCTTTCATTCCAAGATGCCTGACTGTCATGGGCAGCCCACAGCCTGGTCCTGGAGCTAGAAGCAGGTCCATCCACGTGACCAGAGCTCCTGAACTGCAGTGACTGCTGGTCTGGCCTGATGGGGAGCCTCAGGCTGCTGACAAGGCCATCTGGTGAATAGGTTCTTGCCAGCCTTTATTCCTCCCTGGTAGCCTGCCTAGCTTTCCAGGACGACATCAGGCTGACTCTCTGGTCTAGGAATGATTAGAAGCTTTGTGCGGTTTGAATAAATAAACAGAAGGAGGATATAGTAGTAGCAGATGGGCTTCAAGGTGGGAAAAATCTCTGTGAGGGACCCCAGGGCACTGAACAGCTCATCCCCTTATTTGCAATCCCCAAAATAAAACTCACAAAGATGAAACCTTTGCCATCAGATTTTGAAAACAGTTTGAATTAGACCCAGTGGATTGATGGTAAGGATTACACTGCCAACTCAGAGGAATGTGATTTGAATCTATGAGTTGCCCTATGGGGAAAAAAAGATAGGCAGTCTCCCTTCCATAATTTACTGCCTCTGAAGGTCAGTAATAAGTTGGTTCTGACTTGATGGTACATAACAATAACAGGGAGAAAACTTCCCTGCAGGATATCTGTGACGTACACAGATGTTATTTTCCCAGAGATCACCAGTAACTGTTGCATCAAGTTGATTCCAACTCTAGCTGACCTCAGAGGCAGTGGAACTATATGTGGGTCAGAGTAGAACTATATTCTATTTGGTATTCATGAGTCAGTTTTCCAGATATTGGTCACCAGGGATTTCTTCTGAGGTAACTCTACATAGCCAAACCTGTGAACTCCAGCACTCTTCATCCAGAGCTCTATGAAACATTCGCTCAGTGTCTAACTGGAGTTCTAAGGGCTTGCCTGTAGTGTAGATAGCTCCCCACCCCCACCCCCCATTTTTTAACTCTCACACACATACAGTATGTTACTAATTGGGAACTTAACACTTGAAAATCCAGATACTTTGAGGAAGCTCTGGTGGTTCAGTGATAAGAAGCTGTGCTTCCAACTCAAAGGCAGACAGTTTGACTATATTAACTATTCCATGAGAGAAAGACGGGCAATCTCCTCGCATGTGACTTACAGCCTCTGGAAATCCAGTGGAGGGTCTGTTATAAGTCAGTTTTTACTTGATGGCAAAGAACAGTAACTTCTTTTGAGAAGTCAGAAAGCATCAACCCGTACTTAGCCCACCTTCTTAGCACAGCAAGGATGTATTTGACCAGATGAGCAGCTATGTGCTCCAGAATTCATCTCTTCCCACTGTCCCAGCCCACTTTCCCTCTTCTCATGTAACCTGACTAATTCCTGAGTTTGTAGCCCCTGCTGATGACAGAAAATGAATTGAAGCTTTTGAGCTGTAATGTTGGAGAAGAGTGCTGAACATACCATGGACAGCCAAAAGAACAGATATGTCTTTGAGAGGGCGCAGCTGGAGAGCTCTTTGGAGGCAAGAATGATGAGCTTTGACTCATATACTTTGGGCACGTTGCTAAGAGGGGCTAATCCTTGGAGAAGGACATGATGCTGGGAAGGGTGGAGGGTCAGCGAAGGAAAGGAAGACCCTCAACAAGGTGGATTGACACGATGACTGCTGCCATGGGCTCCAGTGTGCCAAGAAGTGTGAGGATAGCACAGGACAGAACAGGGTTCAGAACTTTTGTTCATAGGGTTGTTATAAGTCGTACTCGACTCGAAGGCACCTACACAACAACAAGCCCCTGTAGAGCCCAACATTTTATTTTACAGAAGAATAATGGTATAGAGGTCCAGGGGAGACAGATGGCAGGTGAGATTGTCTCAGGTTTCCTGACTGGTGGGGAACAGAGTTCTCACCCTTTCTTTCTAATATCCCATCTTCCAAGTGATGTCCTTTCCGCTCTTTTGAGGGAGGGTGATGGGACCACTTCCAGAGATATACTGAGGAGAAATACAAGGAAGAGATGCCAACTCTTCAACCTGGCAATTTCAACACCTAAATAGGGCTATCTGGGAGCCAATGAGTATCCTCCAAAGACACATTTGAGAAGGGAGGTTGGTGCTACCATCAAGTGCTTTTAAATTCTATGTAAGCAATGAAATACAATTTTCCATAGGGAATTCTTCACTGCCCTCTGCTCTGTTCTAATCTTCATCATCCCACTGACCCTGGCCAGTCCCAGAGCCATGCTGAAATGCCACAGTTGTGAGCATCAATTGACACCCCCTGGACTACATGTCCTAGGACAAGATTCCTTCCTACACAGGGTTTAAAATGCTCCAAAGAACAAAAAAGCTGGATAAGTTTGGACTTCAAGAAAGAAAAGCTTGTACGCTCCAGCTCTGTCACTCCTAGTGTGACCTTAGGAGAAGGGTTTCATTACTCTGGGCTTGAAGACAATCATCAATGTTTATGATAATCACTGGGGTTGTTCATGAACCCTCTCTAGTTCTACTGTCCTATGAACAAAAAGAACTGTACTTCCACATTCTTTGAAATCTAGTGTGGTTAGAATCTTTGCTATCTCACAATGCCACATCTGGATTAAGGACTGAAATGTGCTATTTAAAGGTGGCACAAATGGCAGGTGGTCTATAACTCCAAATGTTAGCTGTATGAATCCTGGGTTCCAGCAGCACTTCAGAAGAAAGGCATGGTAATCTGCTTTAAGATGCCAAGAATTCTCCAGAACTGTGAGGCAATAAAGTTCTGGCCATTGAAGAAGGAAAAAAAAAAGAAAAAAAGACTACAGCCAAGAAAATATAAGAAAGTTGTTGACATACATGGGACCAGCATGAACCTGAGGTGACTTGATGGCAGTGGGCTTTGTGTATGTACTAACCACATTTTCTTTGTTCTTCCCACTGCTGTAGTGCACTCTTGAGTAGCAAAGATGACCTTCCAACTCACATTGAATGTACAATCTGAGTGAGAAGAACTCTTTCTTGTATTAAGCAGCTGAGATTTGGGAGTTACTTGTTACTGCAGGGAGAGCAAGTCCATCATGATGGATAGAGTGCCTGGAAGATGCACTGAGATAGAGCAGACTTGAAGATGCTACATAAAATAGAAAGTGTGTATTTGGCATGATCGAACCTTCCAGGTGTCTGAGCCCTCTCCCGGGGCCTGGTTTGTCTGGATTAAGTCATCTAGTCTATTAAGGCCTCAGAATGCTGCCATGGAGATGCAAGAGAACAATGAAGGAATGTTCTATGCTGTTGTTAATTTACTATGAAAGAGCATGTGGCTGTGGAAGGTGGGAGGAGAGCAACGACTTACATTCACAGTGATATTAAAAGGGTTTTATGGACCCTACCAGACTATATGGCAGAAGCTATGGGGGATTCTTAAAGACTAACCATCCCATAAACATGTACAAGTTTCTTTTGGGCACCTCCCCTACTTCTGAAGGATTTTCTCTGATGCATATTTGGATTGACCCTGTGATTCTGAGCAAAACATTTGCTGAATTACTTACTTCTGAATTTCAGACTCTGATGTTTCCGAAATTAATCTGAACCAAAGTCCTTGGTAGAGGAAAGAGGCCCACAAGGTGATTACTAGTGGTCCACAAAACCACTTTCTGAGACACCAAGGGAGGTATGCTGGCCACTAGAGTAACCTGGCTCCAGTCTCCATATGACTAGATATAACATGATAACATAATGACTAGAACTAACACATAAATTATTCTCTAAACTAGGATGATCTGGAAGTAAACAAGATGTCATGGTTTGAATTGTATTCTCCCAAAATATGTTAGCCTGGCTAGTCCACGATTCAGTGTTTTAGAATCACTTGTACAGGGATTAAAGGTGGATGCAACAAGCATAATCTCATCACCACCCTGATCTGACACAATAGGAGTTTGGCCTGTAATACCTTTAATCCTTTTACAAGAAATGAAGGGAGATATAAGGTTCAGGGGTAGCAGGAAACTCCTAAGAGTTTCTTTCCTCCATAAAGAAGAGCTGGGAGCAGAGTGTGACTTTTTATCAGGTTCTTACTCTTGGAAATTCCTAGACTCAGGAGACACATAGAGAGAAAGCCACCCCTTACAGTTTGTGCCCTAAATTCAGACTTTGAGCCTTTGTCTTTGAGAGAATAGATTTCTTCTTGTTAAGGCCATACATTACGTTTGTTACAGCAGCACTAGATAAAATTATCTAAATAATTATTTTGAAACAAGGTACAGACCAGTAGTATCTTCAACAAATCAGGATGAATGGTGATCGGATGATGAAGACAAGAACTGGACCTACCTCTCTGTGTCTCAGCTGGAAGCTTTTCCCCTCATGGTAGCAGTTGTAGGTTTTTAGCAGGCTTAAGAGCTCTGATCTAAAAAGATAAAGAAACCAGACATTTGTGAGAGGAGTGGACAGAGCCCTGGACAAGCCATTCTGCCTCTTTGGTCTCAGTTTCCTTATTTGTAAAATGGGTATAATAGTACGCATATTCCATCTATGCCTAATCAAACTAGGTCATTATGACCTGTGCCCGTTAGCCTTACAGAAGACTTTCCTACAGATCCATCCTGGGGCTGAGCATAGAAGGAACAGAAACTCACATGATGGCCCCACCTCTGCCTATCTGGGAATTTCCAAACTCTCATTACAATTTCCACACAGACTAATAACCTTACACTCTCCATGTCTTTGAGCACTAAGGTACCTCCTCAGACTAAGAACCTGAACCTGAATTATTGAGTCAAGAGGTGCAAATATTTTGAAGATTTTTGCTTTTAAATCATATCACTTGCTACAAAGGTAGGAATGACTGTTGTAGTGGGAGCAGCATGGAGTTTACTCCTCTCTTCCTCACCATGATTTCCAGAGGGTACAATACAGGGACAAAGTAACAACAATGAGCACATAACCCCAAAGGCCCTCAGAAGACCACCCCAACCAAATGTCTCCCAGAATAAAGGGAGATCCACAGCCCGTGTCTAGGTGAATGTGACAGATTGAACTGTGCCCCCAGCCTGTGAATATGACTATGATTGGAACAGTCAGGAGTAGGATGGGTCCTGATTCAATGTGAATGTTGCCTTCATAGATGTTTCCTCTCCTGTGAAGGCACAGTTGTAGATAAAAGAGCAGCCATAAGATGATGAGGCAGCTACAAACCAAAGAATGCCAAGAATGGTTGAGAGCCTATAGGAAAACCCTGAAGGTGAGGGTGCAATAAGAAGATGGCAGGCATGGAGCCCCTCCTTGTAAATAAAAGCTTACTTGAGAATGGACTTCCCATCACTGATGGGCACATGAGAATTGGGTAGAAAATCTTCCTTCATTTCTTCTTGCTCTTGTCTGCACAATTAGAAGTTACCTGCTGGGAAGGTAAATAGGCAAACCAGTAAATAAGCATCAGTCTCCACAGAGCCCAGAGCCACCCAGATATGGAGACCACAGCGACCCAACCCCAGCACGAGGCAGCCAAGTGCCACTTGAGAAGCCAGGTTTGAACTAGCACTGCAAGGGTGTAACCTCCCCTATAAGCCTGTACTCCAAACTCTCCATAATAACCAGGAATTTCAAATAGTCTTCTCAGTAGATCACATCCAAAGTTTGCTCCTGTCTTGCCAAGACAGCCTAACAATGGTTTTTCTATCAGCATTGTTCTACCAGTCCTGTCCAGAGACCCCAGGAAGTTCCATGAGGTGGCCCTAGCACTCCCACTGGAGTGTGCCCCTCAGGCCAAACTTCTGAGATGGGCCCATCAGCACTGAGTGCTCCCTAGTGCCAAGGCTGGTGCTGAATATTTCCTATGAAGTTGCCTGAAGACTTTATAAGATCTTGAGGTAAATATCATATTCCCATTTGATGGGTGGGGACATAGAGATGGATGGAAATGTTAAGTCCTTTTACAATATTACACAGTTACAAAGTATCAAAGCCACTGTTCAAACAATCAGATTCAATTCTGGTCCCTTCACATCTTCTCTATACTGATTTTGAACAAGTCCCTTCAAACACTTATCTCCAGCTTCATCTATACATTGGCATGATTGTTGTCCTGTAAGATTGTTAGTAACTTCACATATCATACTCTATTTTTTACCAATCATAACTTTGAAAGGTTTGAGAAACCTTCCAAGCCTCCTCAGTTTCTTTCATGGTGTGCAAAGCCTGTTGGTATTATCAGAGCAGGTTTCTCCTTCTCCATATAATTCTAGCAGAACACTCTCTTGTTTTTGTTGTTGTTGTTTTTCTTGTGTACCCTCACATCAGATCCAACTAGCACAGGAGGAGATTGCCCCTCCTTATCCAGCAATGCATCTGGTAGATTTGAGAACATTCTCTTTTATCTGGTCTTCTATATGCAGGTCAGTGAGTTAAAGTGTTACTCGCACTTGTACACACATTCATGCAGAGGCATATGGACAGATGCATGAACATGAACATGTCCACAACAGACATATACATCATGCACACAAACAGTAACATGCACACACACATGCCAAATACAAATATACAAATGCATGAACACAATTCACAAACATACATAAACATACATATGAACACATTCTCCAGTTCTGACTCCATGTTTAACTCTCATCTTCCACATTGGAGCAAGGGATCCAAAAGTCTAAGAAATTGTGGGAGATGACACAGTGAGGTATGCACATTCAGGGTACAGTGTGGCCCAAAAGAGAGTCACATGGAGTTACTCTTTCATAAAACTTTAACATGTTTTCCCACAAAGTTCTACTCTGTCACATCTTTCCAGCCCATGTGTGCAACTGCCACTGCCTGTGTGTGCAAATGCCATTGTGAAGCTCAAGGTCTAGACTGACTGTTGTCCTTCTTACTGTCTTCCAGGTCGATGTGCTGAGCACTACTATCCCCATCCTTGAGTTGGCCAAGCCAAAGCTGTTCCCCACCTCCCAGCTCTGTGCTACCTGGACACGGTGCACTTCCTCCATGTGCAGTCAGTCCTGAGTGAGTGCTTGACTCTGGAAGCAGGTAATCCTGGTTGGTCTGCAGGAGGGGCATGGTTTGAGGGTGGGGCTTCTCAGCACCCTCAGAACCACCATATACTTTCCTTCCTTGCTCCAGAGGCCTTGGAGCATCTTTTGTCTTGTGAAGAGATTGGGTTCCTTGCACAACATCACAGGGAAGGGAAAGGAAGTATGAGGGCCTTGGGACTGGAAGCCACTACATTGGTCCTTGCAAAGAAACAGAGCTCTTAACAACAGTTTCAGTTCCTCCGCCTGGCTTGTGGAAAAAGTGACCTGCTGAGGCCCTTCTCTGGGTAGTTCCTCTAACATCTTCCATGCACAAGCTAACTTGAGCTCATTCAAGGCCATGTGACTGGGTTTCTAAGTCAACATTGTTACTGTGTGTCCATGGCACAATTTTATCTAGAACAAGAGTTGGAGGTTTCTGTGCCAGCCTTTCTCCCATTCTCTCCCCATTTTCTATTTGAGTCTTAGTCTTCCTGAGCTGTTCTTGCTGTCCAGTCAGACCCAACTATAGTGACTCCATGCTTTATGGGACAATGCTGTCCAGTCAGCTACCGATCAAACCACTGTAATCTTATAATTTTTATTGGCTGATTTTTGGAAGTCAGTTGCCAAACCTTTATTCCTACTCTGGCATAAGCTGGAGATGCTGTCAAAATCTATTCAGCATGACAGTAACATTTGTGCCTCCATTGACTGATGGGTGGTGCCTGGACATGATGTGCACATGAGGGCTGGGAATCTGACCAGCTATGGAATCTGGGTCTTGAGCAGAGCAGGAGAGAATTCTACTCCTGAACCAGCACAAGCTTTATCCTGCATAAGGTAAAGTCCCTTAATGTGTTCTACACTTTTCCTCCCCTAGGGCTTTTTGGGGTTCTTTTCCCTATCTAAAAAACTCAATTCTCCCTTTTTGTTCTGATGTTCTCTTCTTCAGAAAACCCTGGCCAGAACAGTCCCTCTGGGCCCCAGTACCTCACCTCCTCCTGGCTGCCCAATTTCCCTGCAGGAACACAGGAGCAGACAGGACAAACAATGATTTTCCGCTTTGCCAACAGTTTCTAGAACCTCGTGCAAGCCTGCCATGTCACAGGAGAGCCCAAAGTATTTGTTAAATGTGTTGAATAAGAAGCTTCTTAGAGTAGAGGGGAGGGGCAAAAGTCAGCTTTCCCAGGTTTGGGCATAAACCGTTGGAATAAAAACATCAGTCCCTGGGAACCAGAAAGGCCCCAGGGTGGGAGCATCAGTCAGCAGAGTCCTCGAGAAGCTGGAGGCATCTTTCCACTGTAAGATAACCCTACTGGTTTGTCACAAGATATACAATCTAGGTTTTATGCACTACATCCGACTGTTTAAAGCTGGGCAACTATGGCAGAGACATTTACTGACCCTAGGTGGCCCTGTGATCTCTCACACTCCCCAGCCTCAGGCAATGAGCAGGGCTGTGGGACCAACTCTGACAAACTCAGTGCTCAGAACTGACTCATAGCTGACCCTCTGTCAGTTTCTAAGGCTGTAAATTGCTGGAAAAGAGACTGCCCATCCTTCTCCTGCAGAGCTGTGGGTAAATTAAAACTACCAGAGGCCAGGCTTTTGCAACAGCACCACTCACTGAAAACCACAGAGAGCTCCCTAGCTAGAGAATTCCCTAATCAACAAATAAGTTACAAGCAGAAACATGTCTGTCACTTCCTGAATATTTAAGAGCCAATGCACAACCCTCCTGCTCTCAGTCCTTTCCATGCGTGACCCAGAAAGTCTTGTATTTAAACTGGTGCAACTACTCACTTGTCAGCTTTGGTCCCCAAGTGACTATTTGGACCACAGTCCTCTCTGCCAGCCCACACTGGATATGAACTAGAAAGATAAAGAAATCTGTGTTTGGGGGTAAGCCACTGGCATCTCATGGATCGCTGCAGAATAAATTAGACTATCATAGATGATTCTTCCCAAAAAGCTCTAGACTGGAAGCTGTGAGACTTCAGTTGTATCATTTTTCCTTAATTATCCTGTCTGAACAATAAGAACATTGACCTCTGATGGGTCTGACATTTTCTCAACGGCAGACTTCTTTGTTCAAGCAGAATAGTAATGTTGTTCAGGACTAAGGGGGGCTTCTTTAGTTGACAGTGAGGCAGGAGCCCCACGCAGGGCTGTCTAGGGCTCTGTATAATACTACCTGAAAACCACTGTGCTGAATCTCATATAGGATCCCCTGCCCTGACCTTTGGGAAGGCTCTCTCTCCTTTAAGTATCTGCTCACTAAAGGGCAAGAGGAGCACATTAAATGCTGGCAGTTAGAGTTGGTTGGAAGCATCTAGCAGTGGGTTCTCAGAGGAGAGAATCAAACAGTAAGAAATCAAACACTAAGAAAAAAAAATCAAACAGTAAGAAAAGTAGAATCAGAAATGAGAGATGGCAGAATGAAGGCAGAAAGGGGAAAGAGGGCTGCTAAGGTAGTGCAGCTTGGCAAAAACACAGAATGACACACAGCATAACAAGTGAGAGCAGGAAGTCAAGAGCAGGGTTGGGGTTGGTTGAAGGCACTGAATGGCCAGCTTAGTGAAGCAGGCTCATCACACCTAATGAAGGGGAGAGAGGAGGTGCACAGAAAGTTTACCCTGAAAGAGAGCCACATACTTGTTTTCTAATACTTAGTGGTAAGGAGCTGTGCTGCCAAAGGCGTATGTGGTTTGAATGCACCAGCTGCTTCACAGGAGAAAGACAAGCAATCTCCTCTTGTGTAATTTACTGCTTCTGAAAACTCACTCGAAGGTCAGCTATGAGTTGGCTCTGACTTGACACACAACAACAACACTCATTAGTTATGTGATTCTAGGCAAGCTGTTTGTACTCTCTGGTTCTCTCTTATGTGATTCATCCCTGGATTTCAAGAGGGCAAAGTGTCTGTCTTATGTTTTAGGATCTGGACTTTGGGTTCACTCAAAATTCTGCTTTATGTTTGAACTGATATCCTTTGCTAGGCTGAAGTAGGGTAAATTTGCATTCATTTTTCTACTCCCAATATCTGGTTGAGTTCTAAAGTGAATGAACATGTATCTAAGGCACGTTCTTTAAATTACTAGTGACAAAGGGCATTGGAGAGAGGTAAGAAAGGAGCAGAAAGAAGCAAGAGAGAAAAGACTCCAACAGTAAAACAAACTGCAACTCTCCCATTTTAAAACTACCTCTTGAACTGTGCAAGAATAGGCCTTTCCAGATTTGTTGAATGCTTTCTGAACTTTAATAAACAGCACAATTGGGGAGCTCTGGTGGCCTAGTGGAGCTGCAACTACAATCCCAGAGGCTCACGGTTCGAATCCACCAGA